GAGACTCGTTCTCGGTGTTTGGCTTAGCGGTCTTTTCCGATTTATTCACCGTTTTCGCCTTGCGGTCGCGTCGATTAGAACCTTTATTTACGAACATAGCATCCGACTTTTCCTCTCGCGAATTACTTTTACGCGCGTCGCTCTCTTCGATAATTTTCGTACGCAGTGCTTCGGGTTCGGGTAACGCGTCGCGGGACTCGATCGCGCAACGAAAATTCTCGAAACTACTGGGTAAACTATATAGCAGCATGACCGTGAGCAGATCGGGATTGATCTCTATGTCCATGCTCGCCAACTTATCGACCGTATCAAAAAAACCGTTTAGATGATCGCGTACTTCGCTACCTTCCGCCATTTTGTGTTGCGTCAGTCGTTTCAGAAGAGTGGCCTTCCTGGCGGGTCCCTTCGATTCGTAGATCTCTTGCAGCTTTATCCACGTAGCTCGTGACGTCGGGCAGTTCTTCACCTGCTTCAATTCGCCAGCGGAGATTGAGAGGATGATGTCCGACTTGGCCTTGAGGTCGCTCTTGGTCCATTCGGCCACGGCGGCGGCGTTCGCGTTGCTCTCCCCGGGCTCGGGCTTTATTGTAGTTCCGCTTACGTACTCCCACAAGTCTGCCTTGATTAGTAGCGCTTGCATCTGCAGCTTCCAGGTATCGTAGTTGCTTTTGCTCAGCAGCTCGATCCGTGCGTTGCCTGCGCCGTACATCTCTCCTGTTTCTTAGGTTAGTCTCTCACTTATGATTTACGATGTCTTTCTACCTCACTTTACTTTCTGTGCGCAGCTGGGCCCATAACCTGTTAGGGATGAGGGCGGAACTAGTAAGAGTGAGCGTCATGGTGTAAGAAAAGACAATCCCTCGTTTATTGAGTATTGGTGAGTGCCTTGCAATCAGGGCAGCGTACATGCTACGACTAACGTGTACAATGACGGGTGGCGATAGCTCGCCGTCCGGCCGCAAGAGTGGCGCTGTAGAGTAGGGCCCGAGACTCGCGATACATAGAGCGGATTTGCTCTAACACCTCTCGCAACGACGCCGACGTACGAAATATTACACGTCATATCATTACCAGTACATAGCCACGACAACATTTTCGCGTCGATAGAAGTAAACCATGAATGGATAGGGATAGACACCGAAAAACACACCTATGTAACACTTGAAAACTTGCACGAATGTACCAAAATAAACTCGGAATACCTGTGCGAACGAAATTATATCGTTAATAGATTATCTACAAGCGCGATCTGCGAAACAGACATGTATATATGTATAATAACAATGAACACTGTAATAAAAAATACACCCTAGCGACCGAAATTATGGATTCCAACAAAAAATTCTTGGTTATATTCCACTTCTGGAAATGTATTAATGACGCTACAGTGCAAAAACTATCCAGAATCAAAATGTACTATTGTTAACACAGGAAAGATAACGCTAAGAGAAAACTGCAAATTGATTACAGCAAGTAAAATCATCAACTCAAAAAAGGTGACGCAGACAAAAACCATAGAGACATACTTGCCAAACACCAAAATTATATCAGTAAAAGATGACGTAAAATACGAAAACGATACAAACAAAATAACGTTAGAAAAACTTACAAATCCAACCGACCTAACGTATTTAAAAGGAAATATCAACAAGATAAAAGAAGAATTGGAGAATAGCCAAGAACCCTTTTATTACCATAAGCAATTTATATACCCTATGACAACGAGCGGAGTTACCATTTTTTTTATAGCAATAATAATATCGTATATAATAATAAAGAAACTAAAAAATAAAAAAGGGAACGTGACGAAGCCCGCTGCCATAGAGGAAGATAATCAAGTGTAGGCATAGACTAAGCAAAACATGTAAACTTTATCATTAAGTGGGTATAAAAATAAAGTTCGCCCCCTCACTTTCTTTCCATTAGGGGGGAAGGGTGTCATGAGTGCGATATACCGCACATCAGACGACGACTTCGCAAGCGGCAAGGTATCAGATAACACCTGCCGCATGCGACGAAAACGAGTATCCTGAGCAAAGTACGTATCCATCGAAGCCGCGCATACAGTTGCTAACGAAACAACTGCTTACTAAACAATAAGTGGCCTGACAACAGGGCCAAGCGCGATTGATATAAAAAGGAATGGAAAGGAAGGAAGGCGGGTCAATCTAAGCTAAGTAACGATACGGTTAACTGCGGTTAACGCGAGTGAAAGAATTATACTAGTTTTGAATAAAGAAGACTTTTTATTAAAACGATTGTTGATTCGTCGACATAGAGTCGTTGTGTGAACCCGGCAAACGATCCCGAATCATACCCCGTGCCCCGACTGCGTCGGGACGCGCAACAGTGAGGATGCGGAGAATGGGTAGTCTCTCTCTCTCGGCGGAGAAATTAGAAATTAAGAAATGGCGTAGGAATAAGAGAAGGTGAGCGGAGAAGGTGGAGGAGGAAAATTGTAAACGGAGCGGTAGCCCGTATTCTGTGTACCACAGAATAAAGATACATACATACATACATACATTGAAATAAAGATTTTATAAGATATAGAATCCTTTTTGTTAATCAAATAAATTGTTCTTTTTAAAAAAGAAATCTAATTTTCTTCACTGTGAAAATTATATTGTAATAAATATTTTCTAGAATAAAAATAAAAAATTTTTTAGATTAAAATTACATATTTTTTGATACACATATCTTGTTATTAGTAAATATTCATTCTTCAATAAGAAAATAATTTTTTTCTATCGGATACATTTTTTTTAGAGAAAGAGAGTAATATTTAAAATTTATGCTAAGAAACTAAATATTTAAATTTTAATAAATAATTTCTTAGTAATCATGTGACAAATAATTTCCTTAAACAAAGTAGTTTTTGTGGATAAAAATTTTTATTTGTCAGTAAAAAAATTTTACTTTATTGAAGAAAATTATTTGTTGATGGATGATACATGAAGAGATATTATTTTTAACGAAGTAAATATATTGACTGAAATTATTTTTTTGATTAAGGTAAGTTATATTCATTTGATTTAAATTAAAAAATCTAGTTCTAAGTACATATTTAATACTACGTACATTTTATTTGAAATCATTACATTTTCTACTTGTGAAACGACTCTCCGTTGAGTTGAATTAGCGAACCGGACTAGCTCGTCGGACCAGAGTTCGCGTAAGAGTCAGGGTACGATATTAAGTACGAAAATCTGACGGACAAGCGGATTTATTTGATCACAGAATGAATGATATTTACAGGTGCTCGGATGATCGTATTTACAATGCGTATTCACGCGGAGCCACGGCCCGCGTGGCTACGGTAACGGTGCGCGGCGCGACTCTCGGCGGCGTGATTTCGGGCCGTTTAAAGGGCCGGTCGGTACGCGGCGCGTGTACGGGCCGTAGCGGCGGTGGCCCGGCGCGGATGTATCGCCCCACCCCGTTCGCGGTGAGATTCCGTGGGTGGTAATTCGGATATATAGGTACGGTCGAGTCCGGATGCCGGTAACAACCGGCGGGGGCGAGTCACCTCCTCACCTCCGTCTCAATCCGGGCACGCCGAGGTGCACAGGATCCGGGGCACCGGTAGACAGCGGGAACACCCGCTGGGGGTAACTCCTCACCTCGCTGTATCTACCGGGCTCGGTATAAGGATTGCTCGGTCTGCGGTCTTTTGAGCGAAGCCGAGAACACTCGGCAGAGGCGAGTTGCTCCTCACCTCGGTTTCGTCTCTTATCGAGAGCAGGCTTTGCGGATCGGGATTCGTGAGCGGGCTTCGTACTGGTATAGACTAGGCTAGCGGCGGAATCTGCCTTTTTGGCTTCGGATCCCGTCTTTTATACCCGTCTACCCCCAATTGTTATTACATTTTAACAATCTTCGGCTGGTAGGGGGTAGAAGGGTCGGGGTAGCGCGTTCGTGCGCTTGCGCGGCCGGGAGACAGCGCGACACGCGTGTCTCGCCGGCTCGGGCGCGCTCGGCTGTTCCCGCGGGCGATCGGTTCGCCGCGCGAGCGCGTTGTATAATGAACTTAGGCGGTGAGCGCCGTGCGCTCACCCTTCGCCCGGGGTTTGGCGGCATCCGGCTTTCGCCGGGAACGATGCGTTTTCGGGGTGCATCGTTACACTTTCAAATAATGATTTTATGATGTAGAATACTATATACTTATTAAACAAAATAAATTATGTTTTTAAAATAAGAAACCTAATTTTCTTCTCTATACAAATAAATAATAAAATTACATCTTACAATTAGTAAATATTTCCAATAATTAAAATAAAAAAATGTTTTGTAAAAAATTTTATATTCTCTGTATTTATATCTTGTTTCACCCTTGCCGATCAGGTCAGATCAGGCAGCGGGGTCCACGAAAAGAAAGACCGGTCATTAATAGGAGCGGGAGAGCCGGAGGGCGCCGGGCGGAAGGAACTCGCGACGGCCACACAAAAGAGCGACGAGCACAGTTTAAAGGATCACTCCGATGGTCTATTGCACTGTTCTTTATTGCACGTTTACAGGTGCAATCGGCTATCCGAGTCGGATACGCGCGACTGCGAGATCGAACACTCGTGCGCGGGAACGCGAGACTTCCGAGAATACTGACGAGAATTCCGAGAGCAGCGATAAGTAAGCTTATTTCGTCGTTCCGCGTAGACTGCGAGGATTTCGCCGAATCATGCTGCCGCCCGGCCTCGTCGCACCCCCGTACCTCACGCCCCCGGCCACTAGGCTACTCGGTCCACGGGCACGGGGGATGGGGCGGGAAGAACGCGAGCCGGGCGACATCATGCTCACAATATTTATGGGCAAGTATGATACCCGGGAAGGCGATAGAAAGCGCTGAGAACAATCCACCGAGCGATCGGCAGAAAGCGCCGAGAACGTTCCACCGAGGTCGGAACATACCGCCCGCCTCGTCCTTGCGACGAAACAGACGGATATGCAATGATGGACCGCCCGCCGTACGAAACTCGCGGGTCGGCCCGAGAACGATCAGGTATCAGTTAGCCCCGTTGGGCTCCGTCGTTGACCGGTAACGGTACAAGCTTCGCGATCGGCCGTCTCAGCACCGAGTTCGCGGTCTTAATGGTGGCCACCCTGACGAGCCCATCGGAACCCGGGTGGGTGTCGACGCGAGCGAGCGCCCACTTCGTCGGAGGCTGCAACTCGTGCTTGAGCAGGACCAAGTCGCCTACGGCTATATTGGGCGCCTGTCTCCTCCAACGCTTCAGCTGCTGCAGATGATGGATGTACTCATTTGACCATCTGCGCCAGAACTGGTCCCGCATGGCAGACGTCAGCGTCCAGCGCGTCGCTAGTTCGCCATGATTTTGTTCGGCGTGCGGAGGCTCCGGTATAGCCGCCAACGGTTCCCCGACCAGAAGGTGCCCCGGTGTAAGGGCTACAAGGTCCGAAGGGTCGTTGCTGAGCGCATATAGCGGCCAGGAGTTGAGACAGGCCTCAATCTGGGCCAACAAGGTGGCCATCTCCTCGAAGGTGAGGCAGGTATCCCCAACGATGCGTCGCAGATAGTATTTCACGGCCTTGACGCCGGCCTCCCAAAGGCCTCCGAAGTGAGGAGCGCCAGGCGGTATGAAGGCCCAGTCCATACCGTCGTTGGCGAAGCTCGATGCACACTCCTTGTAGAACTCGGATGCTGCGCGGAACATGCCTCTGAGTTCCCTGTCGGCGCCTCGGAAATTCGTCCCGTTGTCGTTCAGGAGGCGCCGGCAGTGACCTCGACGGGAGATGAACCTTCTGAAGGTGGCTAAAAATGAGGCGGAGGAGAGATCAGAGACCGCTTCCAAGTGAAGCGCCTTGGACGACAGACACACAAATAGACATATATAGCCCTTAATGGCCTTGTGGCCGCGTCCTTTAGAGGTTCGGAGGGGCACAGGGCCGGTGTAATCCACTCCAGCAGTGGAGAAGGGGCGGCCGGGTCGCGCACGCTCCGCCGGCAATTGGCCCATCTGCTGCTCTGCGGTGGCACCTCGGAATCGAGTACAGCGCAGGCAGGCGTGAATGACCGACCGGACCAGCGAATTTGCTCGCAGGATCCAATAACGCCTCAGAAGCAGACTACGGGTCAGCTGCGGTCCTCCGTGCAGCGAATTGGCGTGAGCCTCTCGCACTAGGAGGAGCGAGAGATAGTTCTCCTTCGCGAGGATGAGCGGGTGCTTCTCGGCGAACGGAAGGAGCGCCTCCTGCAGGCGTCCCCCCACTCGCAGCAGGCCGTCCCGGTCCAGGATAGGGCGGAGAGGTAGCAGGGGTGACCGCACCGGACACCGCTGCTCGCTTCGGAGGCGGGCCATCTCCTCGGAGAAGTCCTCGGCCTGAGCGATCCGCACCCACCGGTTGCGAGCCGAGGTCAGCTCGGCTGCCGTCAGGAAGCCCGTCCGCCTTCCTTGAGGGTGTTGTGCGTTGTAGAGGAACCTGAGGCTGATTGCCGACACTCGCAGCAGTCGGTCAAGACTGGAGTAACGGCGTAGTACGTCGTTCGGCTCCTCTGGCCTCGCAATGAGGGTCGCCCTTGGCCGGAGTTCCTCCTCCCTGACACCATGATCGGGCTGGCACGGCTCGGTGACCGCGTAGTCCGGCTCGGAGAGCCAAGGCGGTCCAGACCACCAGTTGTGGAGGTCCGCCAAGGTCGCAGGAGATATGCCTCGTGTGGCCGCGTCGGCCTGATTGTCCCTGGTCGGCACGTACCTCCATCGCGCAGTAGGCACGAGATCCTGCACCTCCGCCACTCGATGCGCGACAAAGGGCTTCCAGCGCGCTGGATGGGACCGGATCCACGCTAGCGCAACGGTGGCATCCGTCCACGCAAAGGCTGGGACATGTTCAAGACCCAGTGCCCGGGCGGTGCTGCGCATGAGTCGAGCGAGGAGGACTGCGCCGCAGAGCTCCAGACGAGGGATCGAAGACCGCTTGACCGGAGCCACTCTGGTTTTGGCGATCAGGAGCCTGACCGTCATGCCACCGGGGGCAGTCGTACACCGCAGGTAAACCGCAGCGGCATAGGCACGGCTGGATGCGTCGGCAAAACCGTGAAGCTCGACCTCGCCCCCTGGCCCAGGAAAGTCCACGTAGCGTGGTATGCGCAGCCGGTTCAGCTGGGGCAAGGTTTCAGCGAACGTTGTCCAAGTCGTCCTCAGGTTGTCCGGCAAAGGCTCGTCCCAAGGCAGCCCGGCCATCCACAAGTCCTGGATAAGGATCTTCCCGTACACCAGGACCGGAGCGGCCCAACCGAGGGGGTCGAAGAAGCGGGCCACCTCTGAGAGCACTGTTCTCTTGGTGCAGGTTCTCTTGGTGCAGGTTCGCGCTGTCGAGACGGGAGCCAAGCGTAGAGCGAAGCTGTCCTCACGAGGGCTCCACAGGACCCCCAGCGTGCAAACCCCCTCGCGGTCGCAAAACAACTTGTCGTTGTCCGCTACAGGGCCCAGCTCTGGCGCGTTGGACGCCCATTTACTAAGCTCGAATCCACCGGCGGCGAGGATCGCCTCGGTCTGCCGCTTGGACTCCACTGCTTCCGCGAGTGTGTGACCGCCTGCGAGGATATCATCCACGTACCAGTGGGACCTAATGGCGTCCGCCCCGCGGGGGTAATAGGGCCCCTCGTCCTCGGCCAGCTGCAGGAGAGTCCGTAGCGCCAAGTAAGGCGCCGCCGCGGTGCCATAGACGACCGTCAGCAGGCGGAAATCCTGCACCTCCTGGGCGGGGTCCGGTCGCCACAGGATTCGCTGCAGGTCGGTGTCCTCTGGGTGCACTAAAATTTGACGGAACATCTTTACGATGTCCGCCGTGAAAACGTGCCTAAAGAGGCGCCACCGCGACAAGATCGCCCAGAGCTCAGACTGCAGCTTCGGACCTGGAAGGAGCAGATCGTTAAGCGCGTAACCGGATGAGGTGCGGTGGGACGCGTTGAAAACAACGTGAATTTTGCTGTTCACGTCCGATTTTTTGAAAACCGCGTGATGCGGCAGGTAATGGGTCCCGGCTTGGTGGACCTCCGTCGCCGGAACAACGACCATGTGGCCGAGCTTTTGATACTCGTCCATGAAGGTCGCGTACTGCTCCCGTAAGGTGGGGTTGCGTGACAGCCGACGCTCCAGGCTGGTGAGTAGACTCAGCGCGTCCCAGCGATTGTCGTTCAGACGAACGTCGGAGCTGTCACACCTGGGCAGCCACACGGTGTACCGGCCTCGCAAGTTGCGACTATGAGTGGTCGCGAACTGAGACTCGCAGCAGAGGTCTTCAGGAGACGCAGCGGGTTTCGTTGGCAGTTCCTCAAGCTGCCAGAAGCGCTGGAGGGCGTGGTCCACCTCAGTCCCAGAGGCGGAGAGGTGGAGGACGGAAACGCCTGAGCGATCCTGTGTCGCTGCTGGAGCAGATACTCGTCCCATTAGTACCCAGCCCAGGGCGGTAGCCTGAGCCGAAGGAGATCCCTCGGGCCCCCGTTTGAGTCCCTCTCGAAGAAGAGCGCTGAAGATGTCCACCCCCAGGATGGCGTCCACCGGGGCAGGTTGGTCGTACTCTGGGTCGGCGAGCGTCAGGCCCACAAGGTGGGGCCACGCGTGCGGTTGCACTTTACGTGCTGGAAGGAGAGAGGTGAGCCGAGGCAGCACCAACGCGAATGGCACATGCAGGCGCACGCCGCGGTCCCGCGATGACCCGATTGTCATGGCAACCGCGTGAGTGGCAACGCCTGAGGTAGTTCCTTGTACGCCGGACACAGAAACATGCACGCGCCTCCGGTTCAGGCCGAGACGCTGTGCGACCCGCTCTGTCACAAAAGAGGCGTCCGACCCCGAGTCCAAGAGAGCCCGCACAGTGACCGCGCCACCCTCAGGGGTTGGGTTGAACAAACCAATCGGGCTGTCGACAGCAGGATCCGGGTCCCCGAAGAGCTCGTGAGCGCCGCCACGTTGAATCACTCTCCATCTGCACAGGATCTGCTCCACCAGAGCATGATGGAGAGGGGATTCACGTTGGCGATACTGTCCGAGCCTCACCGCCCCCCAGAAGGCAGTCCATACTGGGCTGTCGGGCGGGCGGAAAGCTCGGTGGCAATTCGATGGCGGTCGGAGCCGGGGGGGCCCGATACGACCCCCATCGAAAGAGGGGAGCGGCACGTCGCCGTGCAATGGGGGCCCATCGCTGTCGTGGGGGCTTATCTGAAGCCCACCAGACGTCATGCCCCCTTCGAGGGCTGGCTGTCGGACATTGGACAGACGGTCGTACGTCTGGGTCCGAGGCCGGTCCTCGTGGCCGGGGACTTCAATGCCTGGAATACGGATTGGGGTTCCCGGTTCACGAACAAGAGGGGTAGGGCTCTGGCGAGATGGGCGGCTGCGCACGGACTGGTCCTCGTGAACGAGGGCCGGACCCCCACCTGCGTGCGGACGGAGGGGGAGTCCATTGTGGATATCACATGGGCTACCCCCTCGGCCGCGCGCTTGATCACTGGGTGGAGGGTGGAGCAGGACATCGAGACCTTGTCGGACCACCGATACATATCGGTGGAGCTCGGTGTCCTCTCCTCCGTGCGTCGCCAAGTGGAGACGCGACCGCGATGAGCCCTCCGGAAACTCTGCGAGGATGCCCTGATGGCCTCGATAGAGGCCGCCTGTTGGGTCCGGGGAAGTTTCCCCGAGACCCGGGAGACGGACCCCCTGCAAGAGGCCGAGTGGATCGGGGCGACGCTTACAGCGGCGTGCAACGCCGCGATGCCCCGGTCCAAGACTCGACCTCAGCGGGCCGTCTACTGGTGGACGGCAGAGATCGCCGAC